ATGTTCAGCAAGTTAATTCAACTGGTTCAATTTAGTCATGCAGGTCTCAGTGAAGAAGGTGAACCGCACGCAATTGTTTGCACAGAGATTCCCAGCTGCTGCCAAGCAAATCACAAGCTATAGGGAAATGGAGGCTGGTTTCTTGTTTGTTTGATTTCCTTTATCTTATTGAATATTAACAATTATTGTTCTTATACCAATGAGAGGGGTGAAACATTGTCTGCCAAACAGGCATGCAATCTCCTGGCAGCATGCCATCCAGAGATCGCTGTGGTCAACACGTCTCAATCTCTTGGGCAAATGCCACTGCTTGAGAAGCAGTCCCAAGAGCTGATGTGCCTCACGTGTCTCGGGTTGCAGATAGGTGGTGGGTGTGTTCTGGCTGTGGAGTTGTTCTGGCTGTGTTCTGGCTTAAAGTTGTATTCACATTGACTGCTTACTAGCTTGAGGCCATCGGGCAAGTTTTTGGTCACCAGCAAAGGGCGGTACATCATAGGCCGAGAAGCGATGATCCTTATGGGCATTCCAATCAATCGGCTCAAAATCAGCTCATGCAGTGAGCGTGTTTCTTATCTATGATATGTTTGCTCATCACTTTTTATTCAATTTGATGTTGCTCCGTTTGCTTTGAGAGGGGTCTAAACGCGCTCTCAATGGTTGCATGAGGTTTTGCATAGCTTTGCCGGCAATGCCATGGCTATGAGGGCCATTGTGCCATGTATGTGTGCAGCCCTGTCTGCATGCTCTCCCAAGCTCCTTGCTATCGACCGTCGATAATTCAAGAAGTTCCTAGCTAATTGGATTTCCATGGGGGATCCCAGCTGATGCAATATCGCGCGATCATAATGCTGTGTAATGTTGGAAAAACTTGCTTGGGGCCAACCGTGCTGTGACACATTCAGATTGATACTTGTATCAGTTCTTAAGTGTTTTTCTGAGCAGGTTCATATTCCGCACAGTCTCAAGTCTAAACAGTGGGCCATCAAGAGTTTACCCCCAACAGTGGTCAGATTTACAAGCGCAAGTGGAAGAGTTATGTTATGCTACCTTAATCATGCTACCCTGTGGAGACTTGGCCTTTCCTCGGTTGGTAGTTGCCCTAGTCATGTCGTTGGTGCGGTGGGATGACGATGCTGACTCCAATGCTGGCAGCGGGCTACACCGCTATCAGTCTTCAAGCAATTCAAGTGGATCTGCTTCTGACGATTCGCAGCCTAGCTGCATAAATTAGAGAACTACAGCTAACTGAAAAGGTGCGTGGGTACCACCATGACTTTGACCCATTACATTGTAGCTCTGAGGATGTCATCTTCAGCTGATGATGAGACCTCTACAACAATGTCCAACAGTGAAAGTGAAAGTGGTACTGACGACAATGATGACAGTGATACCTATCCTATTGTCGATTTGACCTATGAAAGGTTGCAGTCACTCCATGCCACCGGACGAGTGAACAAGCATGAATTGAGTGATTATGCAAAGAGAGGGATGAAGGGTACTCGGGTGAAGAAGGCTGTCTTACAACCACGTTGTGAGTGCATGTGCAAAATGCCAATCAAGTTGCTCTACCGCATCTGCATTGCTTTTTGGACATTGACCAAACCAACACAAGACAGCCTACTGTGGTCGATCCAGACTGAATCCGGAAACCAGAAACGCAAGCGATGGCATTTGGCAGGACCACGCACCAACAAATCGATCAGTCACTGCACATGTACATCAACGCATATGTACAGCAAGAACTGCCGCAGTTGAACACTGACTTCTTTTGTAATCTAAAAGGTAATGGTAGGTTCCTCCAAAAAGTTTGTGGGTTGATATTCCCAACATGGATACTGACCCAGTGTTTGCGCAGGATACCCACTATGCAAGGAAGCTTGGGCCCATTGTCTTGGTGTTGGCAAGCGCCGCTTGGGACGTTGTCGCCATACATTCCAGGGGAAAGATGGCAGATCTCTTTCAGGGCCTGGTGGAAGCTTTGAACAAATCTATGTTGCCACTGCTGTCTACCTGGTCTAGCATGATGCCATAGCATGATAATAAAGTAATGCAAACCGTACGCAAACCCTGCTCATGGTCACTCACGGCTCAGGATCTTCTGCGCCGCCTGCGGTGAAATCAGCCAGTGTCACCAACTTTTTGGTGAACCTATACTGGACAGCGGCAGAACCAATGTCGACCGCGTGTCTTTGTCTGCATGTTGGGGCTTTGGTTAGGTGAAATGAAATGAAATGAAATTACTGACACATATGGTTGCTTCACTTTGATTGCTTCACTTGATGGTTGTCACGAGTCACAAGGATTCTGTCCAAGACCAGCATCAACAAGGCCAGTGAGGACTTGCAAGAGGAAGTTCTACAGCGTCTTATCGACTGTCGACTGATGGGTCCGTCCACTCAATTGGCTTTTAACCATGACCCAACCCGCTTGGCACTGCGCGAACTACCTCACGGGTCTTGGTCCAATGTCTACACCCTCTACCAAGCCCATTGCAAAGCAGGTCAAGAAACCCCAGCCTCGAAGTCTACATTCTTTGCTGTTTCTCAGCAATGGAGATGTTGCATGAGGTTCCACAAAAAGAGTCAACATGCGATTTGTGCCACATGCAGCCGCTTGAAAATGAGCATCCGAAATTCCAAAGAACCTTGATTTGCAAGACCTTTGTTTCAAGCTGAATCTACATTACCCTTAAAGCTTCAGTCCCTATCATGTGTTTGAAGCAACCATCTTGAATATCCTTTTGCTAACTCAGCCAACCCATAAGGATGTGAAGACTCACTGCAATCTTACCCGGCAATTGCTGGATCACTACCACCAGACCCTTCGGGACCGACAAGTTTACTGGCTCGCCCGAGAGCGGGCCAAAACAGTTGGAGATGTTTTGGTGGTCATTTGTGACAGCTACGACAAGGCCAAGGTGACCTTACCTAGATGGCCGTTTCAACGTTGCCCCAAACGTGCACTCTACGAGAAGATCCGTCGCAAACTGACTGCAGTCACCCAATATGTGTCATACAACATGTTTGTTGTTCAAGATTGTTTCAGTATATAACTGCCCTCAGCACCGACACCGACACTGTGTAAGGTACATCTATGACACTGACTGGGTGTATTGTACACGGCCATGGTGTCTTCCTGTTTTTGTCCGATGAAGGGATGGGTCATGGAGCAAGTTGGACAATTGAATGCGAATCTTAACAGCAAAACTGACGCTGTTGATTTGTTGTACTTGACTCTTTTCTCCCTGAACTCCCTGTCAAACACTGCCCACCTTGTTTGCATCCAAGATCATGCGGGCCATCGACCGAGCCTTTGGCATTGCGCAGAGCAAGAACCGCCCGTTCCCTTCGGAGATACTTGTCTTATTGGTGGGTTGAGTCAGCTTCACACTTGGAATTGGGACCACATCCTTGTAAATCCCGATAAGGTGTTGGGTCCAGGGAGACAATGCGGTCAAGGAAGTTCGCAATGCCTTTGTTGGACGTTGGGCATCACTAATGTGCCAAGCCGGCTTTTTCAAGGCTGTGGCCCACCACCATTTGGTGGTGGGCCACACGCATGAGGACATAGGCTTGGTGCTGTGGAAACAAACTAGATGTGCTAAGTGCGACTTGCGTTACAAATGGACTCTTCCAAAGTGTTGAACTCAATCATAATCTCTGTCTCCCACTTTCAAGGCATGAATGAAACCCATATCCCATAGCCTTGCAACCCTGAGATGGTATCTTCAGCATTGTCACCAGCGCGCTCAATGCTGAGCCCAATCTTCAGACACCACGGGATGTTCAAAGGTGGGGGTGGGTTGTCCTGCTGATATATATATATATGTGAATTCTTCCATACAGCCATGGGCAGTCCTTGATGGCAGGACTTTGATCCAGAAAATGGGACCTTTGTTTGCAAAGTCGGGCCTAGTCTTTGACTGCGAGATCGTTGACACAGTACCCTGGCTAAGAAAATCTTCCGGTAAAAAGTCCAATCCGGTGTTATTTCAGCTTTGGCTGGAAAATTATCTGCTCCCAATCATTGCATTTTCCACTAAGATCCGCGATTGGTCCAAGTTCATGCCGGCCGGTGCTACTTTGAAGAATTGCTACATGCCTCGAAAAGGTGATGATGAAGGGGATGAAACTATGTGTGTACCAAGCAGTTTCACGTTCATGGTCAGAGAAGGTGTGGGGTTCAGGATATAGTTGTTTCTAGAGTTACACACTTTAGGTGACATGTTCAAACTGTTGGTTTTGGTTTCCTGTCACTGTCACTGTTCATTCCCTGAGGGATGCCTGGGGCAGGGCACGGGTTAGACCTGGACGAACATGTTCCCCGCCGACTCCGTGCAGAGGGGTCAAACAAAGATGTCTTCTGCATGGTGAAGGCAAAGATGAGTGACGCCTTCTTATCTCAACGTCCAGTGCTAGTCTTCCCGCAGAGCTTTCTGGGAGTCACAGAAGCCTTCTTTAACAAGGTAAACAGCTGCACCGTCCTGAGCACCGCTTCCTTGGAGGATTCACGCTGTGAGGAGTTGCAAGAGATGGCTGAGTGCATCGAGAAGGACTTCCCCCACATGAGCCGTGGAGTATCGTATTTGCGATCGCTCACGGACCCGGACAGGCGCCGAGAGCCATGTCCGAGGTTGAAATTCATTGATGCCGGACCGTCATTGTCTTGGGCGCATGGTCTAGGGGACTTGAGGCTGGGTCCTGGTTTGCCTCCTCCCAAACCATACCCACTTCAGGTTGTTTTCCATCACCGGCAAAACAGGTGATGCTTTTTTGTCCTAGATTTTGGGACAAAGGGGTGCTGGTAAATCGCCTTGTGCATTTACAGGGGTTTGCAATGTATGATCAAAGTTGTGGAACCGATGCCAAAAAGTGCGGATAGTGCTGTTCCATTCCACTTATGATACACAGTCTGTGCTTGGAGGCTTTAACAACAGTACAAGTGTTTTGTTTTGAGAAACTCATTTTGCTCCAGGGTAGGGAACCCACTTGCTAGTCCCAATGGGGGATGTGGCTGAAGATGCCGCTGGTGCGGCGGTTATCTCGAAGATTGCCACCTTCTTTGATTCAGTTCAGAGCTCATTTGCCTCCACTGTTCAACCTATGCCTGAGCATTCATGAGATGAAAGCATTTTCTAATTTCAATTATGGTTTAAGTCCGGCCGGCGCCCCCCCGTAATAAGGTCATAACGGAGAACAACTTTGGGGCGTGGGTCAACGACACTTTCACAGGCAGCTTGCAAGAGGCCCGCTAAGCAGTCAAGTAAACATTTGGCAAACATATACCTGGGATATATTTATATATATATATATTGTGCCTCAGTCTTACCGCAACCCAAGTCATCGCTTTGCGCAACCACTGGCGGTCAGGTTGTGCAAAAGGTGGTGATGGACTCCGACTCTGCTGACTCTCGCTTGCCCTTGGGCACCATTCCAAACTGTTCGATGAAAGAGTTCTGGCTACCTTTGACGGCTTTTGATGTGAGTGCACGCTCCAAGCATGGATGTCGGGTTGTTGAAAACGTTGTGTGTTTGGGGGGTGCTTGAAGCCCTCACTTAAAGGTAGGTCGGACCATCATTAATTTAATGAATTACGCGCGCATAAAGATGTGACCTTCAAGAGTGTATATCAGAATCACAAAGTAGACTACAACCTACGTTTGACTTGTCCGGGGTTTCTCCAGAAGCTGTGCCCTGCAAGATTTCCCGCAGAACATCCAGACCAGTGCGCACTTCGGAGAATTCTTGCGAGATGGATACCGGATCTCAGCAGAGGCAGTGGAGGTTAAGTTCCCAATGGGAGATGGTACGCGTCAAATTATCGATGGCAGTGTTGGCATCAATGATGGCTTTTGCAAGATCATCATCATGGTGGGGATCGCCAAAATCTGCCATTGTCTTGATGCATGAATGTATTTACTGTATATGTTTTAAGCTATGCTCATGGTCCGGGAGTTGGAAGTGTGAACTGACATCATGAAGAGATCCGAATGCGGGGTAGCTCTTTGAATTGATGTCTTCCAAGTTTTCCTCTTTGTAAATCTAAGGAACTGACTCCAGAGGAGTTGCAGTTGCCATCGGTCCGGAAGATTTTGGGTAGCTTCCGCTGGGTGAGGTGTGCTTACACACACTTTACGCACCCTGGTCACCATCACCTGCATTCACTGCGTTTCTCGGTTTTCACACAAATGGAAGCTTTAACATGTGAATCCAATCTCAAGATTCCATGACAGTATCCGTGCCCAACCCAACCTCTCACCAACCAAGGAATCCAATGCGTGACGGCCCAGAAGCAATCCCCTTCAGCGCTAGACTTCGTTGGGGCTATCAAGGAAGCGGTTGCATTAGAGCGTAGGGTCGCACCGGCATCCGTCTCCAAAGCGCTGAAAGATGTTGTTGCCCGATGCACTGCGGAATACAACCGCATGGTGAGCAAGAAGGCCCACCGGATAGACACCCCGATGAGGAACCTAATCATGAATCTGTCCTTCGACCTATTATATATTTTTGGTTTTACATTGCATTGCGATGTTAAAGCCCCATTCTGCCCCATTAAACCTTGCCACATTTGTTCGACCAGTCTACATAGACTTAGAGCAGATCAGGCTTCGGACGGATGACAGAACACAGATGATGGTTCATCAACATTACGACCATTATCCTCACACGCTCTCAGGCTAGACTTTTGCCAAGCAATGTGTTTGTGTTGTGTCTGTGCTTGAACACCAAGCACTCTGTTTCAGCATGTCTAATTCAATTTGATTTGTTTTTCTTCCAGACGTTCCCGGAATCCTGGTCCGATACCGGCCCGCCAGCCTTGCCGATTGACGTGCTTCAATTGGACTGGTGGGTCCCTGGAAGCTCAGCTCGCGCCGAGTGTCAACGATACCAGGGCAAGCCGCTGTTCAAGGAGATCCTTTCCAGCACACTTGAGGCTACCAAGTTGTGGATGTCCCGTGCAATCGAGGACTGGGTATTGAACATCAATATGTTCTCATGCCTCTATGTTTCAACCACCACTAGACTAACATTCTATCCAAGAAGCCTGTATTTAGATCTGGCTCATCTGATCTATACTGATCCATGGTATTGAAAATATAGGCACAAAGAATCCAGACGGTCGGCTTTCCAACAGGACTTCAAGCGAAAGGCCCCGCCAGACTCATCCACGAAAACCAAGGACCAGTCTTGGCAAATGTTGGTTTCCATGGTGTTGAGATTAAAGACCCTGTATATATTACTGAAATCTTGGGAAGAATTCAACTTATAATCCAGTCAGTGTTCTTCAGTTTGAGAATTCATGACGGAGATCAAGGCTCATTGCCAAACCAATATTGTCAACATAGGTTTGACTGTGAAAAAAACAGACTTGCAAATGGCGAGATTCTTGCAGCCCTCCACATCCCTCAACCTTGCCTCAGAAGAACTCCCAGCTTTCTGAAGAAGATCACATGCTCCTGTACGACAGCTGCTGTCTCTTCTTGTATCTGGTGCCGAAGCTCCAGGCTGAATTTCCAGGTGATGTCGTGGACAAACACGTGGAATTGTTCATGAAAGGGCACCTCGGTGTATTTGGCCTTGAGTAGCACTGGGAGGGGGACTTACAAGTTTGATCATCATGACTAGCACAGTTCTGGTTTCTGGAATGCAAATTTGGACCCACTGCAGACTCAAGGCGTCACACATGGTTGAAACCACTTGGCTGTGGCCAAATTCAGGGGGGGGAGTGTGACTGGATTCTGTGGAATCCCGTCACAAATTGTTGAAACCACTTGGCTGCCGCCAAATCTGTTTAACCAAAATTCTGAAAATGTTTAAAAAAACATAAAAAACCAATCAACCGACCGCCATATATCGCTGAGGGGAAAATGTGACTGGATCCTGCAGAATCCCGTCACAACCTATGCAAAGTGAAGGTAGGGGTAGTCACATTGAGAAGTTTGGTTTTGTAAAAACGACTGTGATTGACCCTGTCCAACACCATATAGATTATCAAGGGATTTCACAGGATCCCGTCACAATCTTGATGATAGACATGGGCCCCAACAAATGATTGGTTTTTTGATGTTTTTCAGATTTTAACAATTTCAAGAATGAAACAATGAAAAAACACATTATTAGATTTTGGTCCAGCTGCATCCAACAAATTTAGGTCGCTAGATGCAGATCTTGCTGGGGTGATGAAAGCTGCTCAACCATTCGAGTGGGAGCGCATCCCGTTCGTTCTCGAGGCCATGAATGTTTTGGTAAACATTTTGATGTTATAACTATTAAGGCACCGTTTCTTTATATTTATATTGTAAGTGTCAACATATAGGTAAGCATGTCCCGCAAGGGTTCCTTCCCTATGTGCACTCAACATTCCCTGCAGATTCGTGGGGTGTGCGTGGACGACTTCATCAGCAAGTCTCAAGACAGAACGCGCAATGCTCACAGCAAATCTCTCCAAGCGGCATGGAACGTTTGGAAAGAGCTACTTCAAGCTGACCAAGTCCTTTTTCAGTCTGAAAAGATTGCGCTGCATGTCCGCATATACGTGGGTGCCACACGGTGTGAGGGAAGGGCTGATCCTAGAGGAACCATTTCATTGACAGTGTTGAATCCAGGGGTGATCCCACATGATAAGTCGCAAAGAGTGAGTCAATAGGTCAATTTTTCTAGCCTTCAACAAACCAATTTAACACTATCTATGTTTCCGGCCACCTGTAGCTATGGAAAACTGAACACCAATTACTTAGGGATATGAGTCAGCTTTGTTGGTCTTGGCGCTGTTGACCTCCAATGTGATGCTGATATATTGGTGATGATGACCCATGATGGTCATGATGATGATGGCTAGGATGGGGATCGCGCTGATGAAAAATGAACGGACACTTATGATGGCCAATCATAGTCGGCTGTAGTGTCCCAGTCCCTTCTGTCCAGCTCAGATGACTGTGGATGATTGTGAAGATGCTGGCTGAAGATGCTAATGATAATGAGAGAGGCTGATGTTGATATTGTGGTGTGGGGGATGCAGATGCTGAAAGTTTGTGAGGCCAGTGCTGATTACCATAGCTATTGTATAGTATTCTTATTGTTATCGTTATTATGACGTTGGACCTTGGATTTGTTCTCACCAATGATGACTGTGCTGTGTGGGTGGTGCTGATGATAGGTCTCTGTTTGATTCTGATCCTTTCTACCACACTTCTGGTCCTGTCTTTGTTAAGTGGTCGTTCTGTAGATGCATGTATGAAAACAATGTTTCCCTGCATCTGCTTGTTGTGAAAATCATGTTGGTGGTGATGAAGAAGAACATATTGCAAATATCGTGATTTGGCATAGGAAGCAAAAACAATGATGATGGTGATGCTGCTGATGATGCTGTTGATGATGATGATGATGATCAAATCTGAGGGTCATGATGATCAAATCTTCTGGTCATGATCAATGATGATGATGTGTATGATGATTATTGTTATTATTATTATTGTTTTGATTTTGATGATGATGATGATAATGATGATGATGATGCTGGTGGTGGTGGCGATGTTGATGCGGAAGATGAAAACAACGGATATGATGAGGGTGATGATGATGTGACCATGTAGAATCGGGATTTGGTTTTCTGCTTTGCATTGTTACTGTTATGATCATGGCAGCTGATGATGTATTCTTACCTCGACAGAGTATTTGAATGGCCATAAAGTCGACACAACCCGGATGACTTAGCATATCTTATTTCATCATCACCGGTGCAATTTGATAGGGGGTCCGATTCAGCTTGAGTTGCAAGGCTGTGTAATCATATCTGTTTTCCTTGCCGGCAACTACACCAGCTCCTGTAATCATAATATAAGTTAGTAAGTAGTGCAGCTTTGGTTCCCAAGAAAGTCACACCCACTATGAACATTAATCTCCCACTATGAAAGTCACACCCACTTTTGTCCGGTCCTGGGTTCTCCTCTGCCTCCTTCTGCCTCTTCCAGTCCTGCGGACCGAGGAGTGAGAAGGAGCACTCCAAACGTCGACAAAAACTGGTCGCTGAGCTTGAGGTGGGGGCTTCATCCAAGCCATATCACAATCACCGCCACCCCTTTTGTGAGAACTAAACTTTTGTGGTGTTGAATACGGGATACTTGAAAACAATTCAAAAGGCATCCACCATCCATTTGAGCGAATCCATGACCGCGGTTGGACAGGGATGCCTACAGCACCCATGGCAGGTCATGCATGAGAAAGCATGGAACCACATCAAGGAGTACATGGAGAACAACCTTCACACCTTCACCGGCCGGTCCTTGGAAGCAGAATCCACAATCCTGCCTTCTATCACCACATGGGTGCATGATGCACTCAATGCAATTCCTGACGCTTGTCCTAGTTAGTGTGTAATCCTCTTTATATATGTTTCCAAAAACATTTAGCACGCGCGCAAGCATGACTATAGTAAACTACTTTTGGATCAGACCTCGTTTTTGGATTCATTAGCCACCCGAAGGAAGTTCGCAGTGCGAGTGACCACTGTCTTGTGGTATGGCTCAACTTGCCCACCTCCGGAGTCACTCCGGCTGCCAAAATGGACTTCTTTTTGACAGCCGTGTCGAACATCTTGGCATCACACAAACGCAATTCCATCGCGATTGTTGTCCACGGCAACCGTGCTTCTGACACTGGCAGGACCCACCGACTAAAAGACTTATTTGTTTTGTAAAATGTGACCAAATTTTCTAGTGATAAGTTCGGGAAGATTGGGGGATCTCGGCAACAATGAGTCCGCTTTTGCAGGAAATCCAGTTCAAAGATCGAAAAGACCGAGAAGGACGAGGATGACACCACAGCGAAGAAGGAAGAACCGGACGATGAGGAGGGTGGCGACAACCAGACCGATGGTGACTCGGAGGAGGCTGATCCAGAGAACCCTGAGGAAGCCGACATCAGGGATGTGCGGCATAAGCTTGAGAAACTTAAATGAGCACTGGGAAGAGGTTTGCTTTTCTTTCGTTTCCAGGATGTTGATGTTGTATCTATTTTCCTGCTTAGTTCGTCCTTTGTGAATGTTGAGGAAAGCTCTTGCTGCAAAAGACGAATCTGTGCGTCAAGAACGTGACCTGGGTATTTGACCAGGCTGCTTGTTTCCCAAATTGTAAGTTTGTATGTGCAGAGGTAGTTGTTGAAGTATTACATGTGACATGTTTTTGCCTCAAGAAACATGTTCAACAATTCTTGACCTCCAACCTTATTGATGATGAACTTTAGCTGTCAACTATCTTTCAGTTTTAATAGGGGCACCTTTTGTTTGCAAGGATATATGATATATTGTTTTCTGGTGCCATATGGCCATACATATATAATAGTATGTGTGTTTGCACTATGCCAATGATGCTGTATATGCATATATGTTATTTTCTTAGTAATGTTATTTATTGTTATGTTTCTTGTCAAATGTGCGGTGTTTCCGCAAGAGAACTTGTATGACCAACTTTGTACTTGTATGACCTATTGCTTGAGGCTTCGGTCTATGGCAAGCGGGACGCTTGCGTTGCTGGACTGGCAGTGGTGCACCGCGACAAGCTGAACATGTTCAGGGGGACATCTGGGTGGAAACACGGTCTCATCCGTGATGTCGCCATGTTGCCACGCTCGCAGATGTACAAGCCGGAGGCCTGCTTTGAATGAAGTGGGTTTCATCATTTTGGACCTAGCTGGTGCAGTTGAGTGTCACAATGTCACACACCACTTTCCGTTAGTTTAATTTAGTTTTATGGTTGAGGCTCAACTTTCCATGCTTCCCTTTTCTTTTTGGTCCAGCCCTGCCAGGCCACTACATCGACACCACACTTGGGCAGGGCTTTCACAGATGCCCAAGAACTGAGACAGGCCCCTCAGCAACCAATTGGTGTCAAAATGCTAGGTGACTAGGTGTGTCAAAAAGTGTCAAAACGAGGTGTCAAAACAAATGATGTAAAAGGTGTCGCGCATGTGTCAAAGTGCTAGCCTAAACCCAGGTCGCTGGCGGAACAGACTTTGTCAAGAAGACCCTTGGGACCTTTTTGCCAGACTCGGTTAGCACAACCTTGGTCATCGACCTGCACTGTTACGACTGCTGGCCAGCACTTGCAGCGTTGGAGGACATCCCGTTAGGGCCACACATTTGTAGTTTTTTTTTTCACATTTACAAGAAGTTGCTATCTAAATGATATCAATCATGTTGACCTTCATGCTAAATGAACATGTTCCCGCTGAGGTTTGTCCAACCAACAGTTGTATCTTGTGTCTTTTCCCTGCGTTTTTGCTTTCATGAAAGCAAACCAGTTCATCATACACATGAAGGTTTTGTTCTTTAAAGTTTGTAGTTTACATGTGTTTACATGCTTGCGCTGGTATTATCAAAGAATTGTCTAAAACATTAATGACAAAACGAGGCTGTTCCCTATCATAACAACTTCAGGATCAAAACCAAAGCCAACGGTCCCTTCCGGCAGTCCATCTCGCCAGCCAGGAGTGTGCTGCAGGTCGCCGATTGCTTTGTGGCAGTGTGGTTCTTGACAAGCAGCCTGACACGATGGTTCAGCGGATCGCGAACAAGGTCTATGAGAGTTGCAGGGCGGAGCAATTGAAGATTGTGGGCTTCCCTTCTTTTGCACCTCTCATCCAGGCAATCCAGCAAGTGAAGCCGGATGATCAGGAAAAGAAGTACGAGGTATGTGTGAAGAAACATGATCGCCTTGTAGTTCTTCAAGCATTGGCGGCCAAATGGATGGAGACCGAGTTCAAGGATGAGACAGTTGCCATTCTAGAGGCACACAACAAACAGTTCAATGTTGACGGTGAATATTGGCACGAGACTGAGAGGCGGGCTTGTGGGTTAAACAGTTGTCTGCACGTTGGGAGGTTCCACAACAGGTACCCTAGGACCCCTCAAACCCCTCTAAAGCCCGTGCTGCGCCTGAGATAGGACCACTGAAGCTGATGATCTTGGATCTCCTCTCAAGCGGATCAAACTGGAAGACTCAGAGATTGGCAAGGAGGCTGACATTGCCAATCTTCAAAAACCGTCCCTTGGATGGTGGATTTGGGAACTGATAAATTCCCTATACCCGGAATTTAAAAACTCCAAGTCAGCTTTCCTTTCCATCTGGCATGGGTACTCCAAATTTCTGTCCTTTTAAGACCCGCTGTGTGATTTGAATAATAAGGTACATCTTCCAAATCAACAACTGCGCTGAAATGGCATGTGGCCAAGATGGAGCTCCGCTGTTCCTCGTGTCCCGGGGGAAAAACCAGTTTCTTATGCATCGTGAGCTGCTTCTTGCCTGCACACAGCCAGCACCACCAGCTGTTTTTAATGTCAATCTGGCTATGGGTGTCCAATCATTTCCCTATATTTCCCTAATGACTGGTCCGCACAGGTTCAGCTTTGGCAGCGGCGATTGGAGGGTGAATGCCGACCCTGGGATTCACATGGTTTAGGGATACTTGTACTGGCACTGTATGTGGGCATGGTGATTTTTTAGACCTATATCATCCTGTATCGATGTTGTCCCCCACTCAGGATGCAACTGAAATCATGGCCGACAGCTGCGGGAGATGGTTCTCTTTCAATGTGACTCTTGACACGGTGATGATCCTAGAGAAAAAGAATTTGGCAGATCATGTGGCTTCTTTGCCATGTGTGGACTCGCCAACACCTTTGTCCACGATCATCCGGCAGCTCGAGGATGCTGGAGAGGTGTGGCTTGAGAATAGCTAATATGACCACAGTATACCAAAGTAAGATTCTCTCTTGTTTCATCGAAGACACCCAAACATGGCCATAGCCATGACATGCTTTAAAAATGGGACATGGATAATAGTTTGAATTCGGGGCTCAAAGACACTTCATCAGAGATCCCTTCCCTTAACTCAGAGACCCCTCCCTGTCAGGTCAAGTTGGCTGTGACTCATCATGTCCTCTCCTCGACAGACAAGATCGAGCAGGACAAACCGCTGGTCTTTGTGATCGATCCTCCCAAGCATGATCGGGAGGAGGATGGGAAACCCAAAAAGAAGAAGACCAAAAAGGACAAGGTGGCCGGATCTATGACGCATAAGAACTTTGGTTCTATCCTTGACATCGGCAAGTTCAAGCGGGCCCAGCGACTCATGGTCGGATGGAGGATGAGGTGTGCATACCGTACCAATGTGCATATAGTACCAATGTGTTTTAATGAACCCTTCGGGGTCTTGTTTGGGCTACACTCGCTCGGCCCTGCCAGGTTGGATGCAAACAACGCATCAGGTGTGAAGACCCTGGTGCCGCTGCGACCCATTGCATGTGTCACCGGCGTTCTCGATCTTGGAAGCACTGTGATAAAAATGTTTTGATTCTGAGGAATCCTGATTTAGGATGATTTAGGGGGGTAAGCATCAGGAGCAAAACCGACAAAGTATGTATGGTCTGCCTAAACTTAGAATCATATCTTGGTAGATTGATCTTGGGATTATTTTCGGTTATTGCTGTTTGACAGTGGTTGTGCCTCCGTCATGATGCTGAAGTTTTGCTCCTTGCTAGAGCACCAAACCAAGGCCTGCTTTGCAGGTCATTAGACCGAGTCATTCTGTGGGCCACGTCGGTCCGTGGTGGTAGTTTATACCAATCTTGGTTCCCAGGTCTGCCTTCATCTATCTTCATCTACCGGACCCATATCTGACATGAAAGCAATTTTGTTTCACTTGACATTTCTTTCTGAGTAGCGATGTTGAAACAAAAACAAATTGAGTGATATCTAGGCCTGGGAACAGTCTTAGAAACAATCCAGCCACCTCTGCCAGCAAAAGGCTACAAAAGGCTCTCCCGTGTCCTGTCGTGGTATCCTCTGACTCATGGTCTAGCGGCATCTTCAACCCGGAATCTTTGATGTCACCTGCAGCTGCACTGTTTGGGTATGGATTTCTGCATGGGATGCCATATGTATCTAGTATCTGCCATACTGTTTTGGTGGCTTAGGAGAAAGTAGCTTTCAAAGGGTGAGTAGTAAATCCACCTGGCGGCGGTCATGTCGAATCGCAGAGCTTTGAAAAAAGTTCCAAGCGATGACTCGGATGTGGTGATCGTCCCCGCGTCTAGTACCTTTCGGGCCCCAGCCCCTCAGTTGCAGTCGCATATTGGGAAGTGGTCAGGCACAATGGACAAACTGACTGTTTGAAGGATTGGGTTTGAAGGTGTTGACCATACCATTGAAAGTTGATCGATTCAGGCAGTGCTATTTTGCAGTTTCATTTGCAATCTTTGGGGTACCCTGTTACGATGACTCTGATATTCAGCTGAGGCTTTTGATTTGAATCAGATTATTGGAACGGGCAACCGTTCTGGGTCTGCACCATCTACCACATCCGCGTCAGTCCGTCCCCCTATGGCTTCTTCCAGTGCCATGTCTCATCTTGCATCAAACAGTTTTCTGATTACGTTTTGGCAAATTGCAGTCTTCATGTCACCCGAGGTGCAGCCCATGCTTCGGTTGGAGAGATCCTGCCTGAAAGGTTCCAGTCATCTGAAGAGTCCTCACCGCCGGGCGGAGGGGGCAAGAAAGATGAGAAAAAGAAGACAGACAAAAAAGATAAAGGGAAAGATAAGAATCCAAAAGGGAAAGACAGTAAAGCCAAGAAACAGAAAAAGAAGAACAATGATGATGATGATGACGATGGGGCTGACCATACCAACAACCCTCTCGGTGGTGGCGAGGATGACGACAACAATGAAGATGATGACATGTTTGGTGGCCTTTGTGGTCTTGATGATCTTTTTTCGGATGATGACCAAAACAAGAGTAGTAAGAAAAGGCCTGCTGCTTCCAAGGGGGGTGGCACCAAGTCTGCGAAGCGACCAGCATCAAAGCGTGGTGATGGTGGTGATGAGGCTTGTCTTGGGGCGGGTTCCAGATTACTTGTCTTGGGGCATGTCTCTGTGAATAATGCATGTTCAAGAAAAACATGTGTACCAATTTCCTCACCATCACATGGCACAGGTGCCGATGGAACCCTTTGCGTATATGATCGAGCAAAAACAAGACTATGCTACCTACAGGTACCTTGGAACCTGCGCCCCTAACTAGCCGAAAGTTACCCCATCTCTCATTTTCCAAGGTCGCAGCATTTGGAACTATCTCACCCCACGAACAACATGGTCGAGCTGAACAATTCCTCAATGCCACTTGACCCAAAAGTGGTGATGTTCTTTGTAAACAATGGCATAACTTTTATCAGTCGGCAACATGCTTGGCCTGCCACTACCTTCAGCTTGGAGCATCCGGACAACCAAATGGGCTTGCCCGAGTACAAGGACAAGATGATTTGATTTGGGGGTGCTTGCAAAACATACATTTTGAAATCTAGTGTGCATGAGGTGGCACAAGGATATATATATATATATATTATACATATCAGGCATCAGTTCATTTTTGGAGAAGGATGCCTTTCATCTTGAATGGCGATACGGTGATGATTTGTAACTCAGAGTTCTGAACCCAAAGTGTATATTACATATAGGTATGTATACTGTGATTGGTAGATGACACACAAAAGCATTTACACATACTGTAACTTACACCCTTTGTGGTGGCATGGGACTGCATCATCCACATGAAACCACACATGAACATTTAAAACCTTGCCTGGCAAACAGCAAACCAGTGCATGATAGCCCGTAAAGCCACACCTCATTCATATAGATGTGGAAAATGACCACCCCAAAGATATGTGACAACCATTCCACCTTTCCGCTCTTCAATCCATGACTTCATTTTGATATGTTGATCAAAGGGAAGGGGTCGACACTTCTTGCTACAGGGTGTTTGATCCGACCAAAAGCTGCTGTGTCAGGACTCTCCTAGTGATCCAATCGATCACACTGATCGAGCCGATGAAATTGATGGCACGAAGCCAGAGCAGGAGAATCAACTTGCTGCTTTAGGTGTTTTGGGGTTGAACCAAGGGTTGGTTATATAATGTAACATATCCGCCACAACAGGAGACAAAGCCGCCCCTCTTCCGGAGTTTGGCCAGTGAGAACTTGGATGGGCTCCTGGAAGAGGCCGAGGTAGCTCAGGACTGGCTGCATCGTAGTTTTGCTTGGCAGCGGTAGCCACACATCATAGTAAGGTAGTTACAGTAAACCATGTGCAGCTACACCCCCCGTGTTTCAGGAGACTCCCTTGGAGGAGTCGGCCCATCATGATGAAGCTGGTGATGGAACTGGGCATGCAGCTCCCGCATCCAATGAAACTACTGATGGGACTGCAACTCCGGTAAGCATCAAGAATGATGAAGCTGCTGATACCGCTGATACCCCAGGTGCTGACTCACCACCGCAGCCCAAGCCAAAAGCCACACCCAAGAGGGCAATGCCCAAACATTGCCCTACTGGACGATCTCCGCTTCCCAAAGCAAATGCAAAATGCAAAGCAAAAGCAATGGTTACTCCCAAGAGGGGTGCACTAGCAAAGGCTGCAGCAAAGGCTAAGGCTAAGGTGTCCCCAAAGCGCATGGCCCGCAAACCAACGCCAAAAGATGACGTGGAAAGGAAAATGCATGCAGTGATTGGGATTCAAATAGATCAAAAAACTTTTTTGTGCACTTTATCAATGACTGTTTTTGAGTACTTGGGACTTTTCAAACCCCTTGTATAGTATTGTAGTGCCTTTGCCTCAGGTTTACTCAGCAGCCCATCATAAAGCCAAAACCGCTGGCAAGGGACCGAAAGAGGCCCAGCAGGATGCCACCAACGCCAGGAAAGAGCACCGCGACATGAACTACTGCTTAATGACTACTTAGTGACTACTTTGGTTTCTATTCCGACTAGTCGTAGTGGCTATTACTGCTTCTTTTCTGACTAGTGGCTACCGCTGACTGGTTCACCATTCTCTGAGGTGGATTCTTCAGTCAGCCCCACGTGATCATCCCACGGTGAAACGCTACTTAGAGTCTTGGGGTATGTGATTTTGAAAGTGCTTTGGGGTGAAGGCTCAGGTCCGTCTTTTGGACCGATGAGCTTTCTCTTATAGATGTCTACGCACATGAAACTGTGCTGCACCTGTGTCGCTGTGGGGAGAAAAGCTGCGAGGAGGGTGGCGCAGGAACACATAGATTCAACATATTCAAGACCCAGTTACATACTGGAAAAGTGTCAGTTGCAACTGCATAAGACTATGGGAAATCATGGGATAAAAGAGTACTATTTCAAGAGTCAGGCCCCTCGACTCTGGCCCTGGCTGGGTAGACTGGCGAACCCAGCAAATTGTTGCTGGGGTCTCAGGGCTCTTGGAGGAGCTGATCGGGTCGAACGGAAGGGTGAAAGCAGACCTTTCCGAGTCTTCGGAGAAGCCCACCCGGAGTCTTTCCGACTCGGAATGGATCGGGATCCACCACTTCTCAAGGCTCAAGGAGCAGATCTTGAAGATTCAAGAGGGTTTACTCGTGGTATTTCATGTGAACCTGTGAGACCTACGGACCTCTTGATTGACTACCCCTTTGGCTCACTTTCCGCATTTTTCAAACCCTCTCGCTACGCGCGGGACGCGCTGCACTGCGCAGTGCAGGATCTGGTTGCCGATCCTCTTGGCGTTGCTGTGGCTGCTCGTCCGCCACCTCAGGCGCCGATCGGGGGCGGGGCCTTTGTCGCTCGATCGGGGGGTACCGGGTAGATCATCCGCCTTCTCCAAATACGGCATGAGATGTTGCAAGGCACCAGAAGACATTTACAAACCAGGTGCAGATACCCAGTTCCATTCTTTGTTGAGTAGATCGAGTGTGTATCCTGTGGGGGAGCAGGCAAATTCAGCGCCAGGGTGGTCTTCCCTCTGGTCGGCGATCATGCAACTTCCGCATGTTCCAGAGTTTTACAAGTTAAGTTGATTGTTGATCCCAGGAAAATGTTTAATCCCACTTAAGTTAAGAACTTAGCTTATTCACACTTAAGTTTAGTCCCACTTAAGTTAAGTCACAGTTTCAGAAATCGGGTGTATTTTTTAAGACCTTCCCAAAGGTTTCACCCCTCAGCAACGTGCTCCGTCGAGCACCGTCCTTTTCATCGCCGGCGAGGTCCAGCACACTGCTGAGCTGTGCAGCGATGCTCTCCCTTTTGACCTCCCCAGTCGCTTTGGCCCTGGCTTGGCCGGAGGCAGGGAATGGCACGGATGCCGGGCGGCATGCCGCAGACTGCGGCAGACTGCGGGGCTTCTCGAGTTCCCAGGACTTTGGTATTACTTGGGATCATAGGGGATCTATATTTGACCACCAAAGTAAAGGAAATTCTTTTTCGGATCAGCACCTAAAGCGCTAAAGACTCTTTGTTAAATAGTCTTGGATTCCCAGGGAAATGATTGCAGGTG